GGAATGCCATCCAGAATACTGTGAAGGTGGTCAAGAACCAATTTGTTGATGAAGGGCTGCAGATCAGGGATGCTATGAGTAGGAGGGGGGAGCAACAAAGCAAATTTTTGAAGTGGTTTACAACTTCAGCTTTGATGGCTTCACAATCAGTTAGAACCTGACCATTATCAGTGGTGAGAGACACAATTTTCTTTCTGTTATTCCTAGAAGAGAGGGATTTATGGAAGTAGGAAGTGTTGTTGTCACCCAGCTTGAGCCAAGTCATCTTTGATTTCTGTCTCAGCATGTCTTCTTGGTGTTTGGTCAGCCTAAGTGTAATACCCCTAATTTTAAAAGGCTATTCCTGGAATTTAATTTATGGCTTATTTGCATTTTATTTACTTATTTGCGTAATAGTTTTAAGGTTTATTTATTTAATTAGTCATGTTACTTAATTAATTGCTTAATGGTTTATTTGTTTAATCAGTCATGTTACTTAATATGTTTTTGGTAACTGTTTATATAATTTTATTTATTTATTTAATTGTGTTTTTATTTATTTTAGTTGTGAATTTGTTGATTAAGTGTGACTTTATTTGTTTTTATTTATTTAGTGGTGGTTTGTGAATTAATTAATTAGTTATTAAATTGTATTTTATTTTTCTATTTTTCGTTAATTGAATTAATTATTAAATGGTATTTTATTTTTCTATTTTTCGTTAATTGAACTTAGGGTTTTGTTTTATTTTTTCTTTAGCCGACTTAGTTTCCTATCTAGTATTAGGACTAGAATTAGGGTAACCTTAATCCTATAAATATATACATTAAGGTTTTACCTAGGGTTTTAGAACTTAAACACGTCGGTGGAGGCAGAGAGAGAGAACAGAGGAAGGCTTACAGTAGTCGGAGTTCGCCGGAGAATTTAGGAAGCAACGGTGCAAGGTTTCAAACTGAGACCTAAAGACAAGTTCTAAACCTATCTCTTTCCCTTAGGCTCGTGTTCTTTGCACGACTGATACAATTCCAGGATTTAATAAGAATTAAAAACTGAACTGGATTGCATGTTTTAAATGCTTAAAACTGGATGTGTGTTCAAGTTGTTTAATGTTTGTATTAAATTCTTTGTTGCGTTATTTCTGTTTTAAATCATATAAGTTGATGAGTAATGTTTTTAATTAGTTTTATACCATGTTAGGAACCACTGGAATTAATTTAGTTTGCAAGTTTGGTATGTTAAAACAATTGGGGTTCGGGAAAGCATAAACTGCTCGTATTAAACTCTTGATGCAAAATTCATGCTTTAGTTGATTTTAGTAACTGAACAATGAATTGAGTGGATTTTGGAATAAGTTGGAACCTGATTTAAACACTTAGGAACCCTAGGTATGAAGGTCAGTTCATTAGAAACTCACCGGAATTGAAAACGATGAAGAACAGAGAGAGAGACGACTCACTGTTTTAAAGAGCAGGCTCTTCCGGACGAAGAGCAAGCTCTACTTTTAAGTAGAGCCAGCTCTAGGGGTCTTGGAGCAGGCTTTTCTTCTAGTAGAGCCGGCTCCAAGATGGGAAGAGTAGGCTCTTCTTTTGGTGGAGCAAGCTCTTCCCTCAGGTGTGCGTTTTTTAATTTTTCTGCGACTGTGTGGGCTACAGAACTTGGATTTTGGGATTTTTAGTTTCTGTTGGAAGCTATACTGAGGTGTTTAGAGGTGGTCTAAGCTTGATTAAAATCCTTGAGAGAAGATTTATGCAAAATAAAACAACTTTGTTTTAGTGCGACAGTGGACAATGCTTAATTAATCAGTTTACTGTGTTTTTGTTATGAAATGATGCAGAATTGCTTAACACTTAGAATAGCAATTCTTAGCAATAAAATTCTCAATTAAACCTATCCCAATGTTATAAAATAAGCGTGTGGATTTAAATGGTTTAGTATGCTTATTTGGCCCTAAGTTGGTTTACAGTTTGGATGGGAGGAGCTGCAAGATGTTTAAGCTTTGGTATTAAAATTCTTAGTGATGATTTGCAGTTAGTCATGTTCCAGAATTACTAAAAATAAACCTGTAAACATTTATATTCTGTTATGGCTGATTAGAATTAATTGGTTTACATGTATAACCTGTAATATCAATTAGTGGACATTTCAGAGTAGTATGGATTAAGCTTGTTAATTGACAATTAGTTTATCATGCTTAATATGGAACAATTGATATTTGTACTTAATGTTTTATTGTCAATTGTGGAATGTATGGATTGGTTGATAGTTATATTTTTATTTATTCTATTAACTGCCGGATGGATTGGATTGTATGCATCGGTATGGGATGGTGACATACTAGGTTTGGATTGGCTCAAAATTGCTATATCCTACCTAAACGGAATAAGGGAATGGATTAAAAATAAATCCTACTTATATTTAGGCTAAGTCAAAGAAGCTGCACAAGCTGAATGACTAGCTGGATTACTGGTTATCTATGTTAAGTCTGTGCAGTTGAATAAGCTGAACGACTTACTAGATTTATTATGGATTGTTATGAACGGATTTTAAATATATTATTATGGTACCGAGACATGAGCTTGAGTCTCAGAGTCGACGGTTAGGGAGCGTATATGTAGTAGGATGCGTAGCTGGCTATGCTGGTTGTGGTGTACCCTGTTAGGCTTAGGTAGTCATGCCCACTCAGGTGCGTTTTGCATGTTGCCTTCTACTCAGGTTGAGACCCATATCATAGTCCAGCGAGAGTCCATAGTATGGATATATATATATATATATACACGACTTATATAGTTATTGTTGAGTTGGTTAGAGTGTATATGCGTATCGAGTCTCTGCTTGGATTGTAGTAGATTAGAACTTGTTCGTGGGCCTGACCCACTCCTATTTTCCAGGTGTACGTCAGTTCCAGGCTTGAGCTTGTTCGTGCTGGGCAGAGAAGATCTTCCATTCTACCGACGATGTAAGACTTCTTTCCAGATATTTGATTTGGATTTTATCTTCAGTTTACTTTCATTTCAGTTTGGTTTTTAGGGGTCCACTGGAGATGGATTCCCGAGTTGTTAACTTATGGAGGTTTTGGATTATTGAGATTTAAGTATATTTAATATTAAAGGTTTTTTATATTTAGTTTTCTTTCAGCTTAAACTTTATTTATCAAATTCATTTTGTCATCTGTGTTCGTATAAAATACTTTAATTGTTTGATATTCCCTCAGGTTTGGGCCTGGGCCTGATCAACCCGTGTCTCTGATCCGAGGGGTATCACACTAAGATACTCATTAGTTAAGACTTTTTCCAATTGTCTGAGGTCTTCATTTCTTGGATCTGTGTCAAGGTCAGTTTGACAGGCATCAAGCTCCAATTTGACTGCCTGCAGCTTCAAGTCCATTCTGTGAATTCCTTTTTGCAGTTGGTTTTGAGGGCTTGTTTCAGCAATTTGAGCTTCTGAACACATTGGAACATTGTTGTGCCTTTGATGTAGGTTTGCCAGACTTCCTGAATTGTGGGAAGGAATTGGGGATGACTGTTCCAGGCATTGAAGAACCTAAATAGGATGGCTCTTTTTGGGGTGTTGAAATCCATAGAGACCAAGATAGGAGAATGATCTGATATCCCTAGAGTCAAGAAGCGACATTCAGATAATGGGAAAGAGTTGATCCACTTTTGATTGATCAAGGCTCGATCCAATTTTTTAGCAATGCAGGCTGCTCCTAAGCTCATGTTACACCAAGAATACAAGATTCCATTAAATTTAAGGTCTTCAAGTTCAGCTCTTTGCAGGCATTCTTTGAAATTAGTCATAGCCGGGCACCATCTCATAGATCCACCATATTTCTCGCCAGCATTGGGGATGACATTGAAGTATCCCATTAAGAGCCATGGGGATTGAGCCAAGTTGGCTGCATGGAAGGTGATGTTTTCCCAAAGCTCTTGTCTTTCAGTTGCTGTGTTGGCTGCATAGATGAAGGAGGAGAAGAAGGATATGTTTTGCCCTATGATGGTTATGCTGCAGTAAATTGCTTGCCTATTGAGGTCTGTTACAGTGAGCTGTAATACATTGGGGTTCCATAGAACCCAAATTCTACCCAGAGGTGAAAAATTGTAGTTATGAACAATTTGCCATGAGGGAGCCAAGAATCTATGAATAGATTCAATGTTTGATTGAGAGACCTTAGTCTCTACAATACAAAGCAAGTCAAGTTTTTTGTCAGAGATAAGCTTTTTGACCTCTGACTGTTTAGAGGGCTGGTTCAGCCCTCTAATATTCCAAGTAAGGAAACTTAACATAGAGAAGGGTGGGAGAGGGGACCTTCAGGATGTCTGTGGCCTATAGCAGAGCCATTAGACATCAAATATGTGTTGCTGCAGGACTTCCTTCTTGCCTCTTTTTTCAATGTTCTAATTGTTAACTTCTCATTTGTGGATTTTGAAGAGGGTATTTCCATAATAGGTGGTTGCTGAAATCTGGCTTGTTTTTTGCACTGAGGGAAAGTAGATGGGGATGATGGGGTTGTTATGGAGGTGAGCTTATGATGAGTCTTGGGTGGAGGTGGAGTTATGTTTGAGAAGTTTAGCTTCTTGGAACATAAAGGGGAGTGGGGAGGTAAGAGTGAGGAAGGTGACCTGGTCGAGTTTGAGTAAGTGTTCTGTACCAAAGTACCTATGGAAGAGGTGGATGAGGATGGTGACTTAGAGGATTTTGGTGTGCATGCTTCTTAAGGTAAAGATGAAAAAAAAGAAATTGTGAAGGATAGTTAGTTGTTTAATTCTTTTAAAAAAAAATATTTTTATTTAAGTCACACCCTTAATATTACTATTATCATGTAAGTAACACAAATTTCTACATCCTCTCAAACATTTGGCATTGAAGAAAAGTTCAAGATAAAGATATATTTATTTTGGTTATATTAGGAGAACAAGTCAAATACATAAAAGGCCATTTAATTAACAGCTGAAGTGCAACAAGCACTTGCCTTATTCCACCATAACATAGCAATAGAGCAATGAGAAATGATATTGAGAGTCGGTCACAGTTTAATTGCAATAGCCTTGAGAGGTATGGCTTTCTGCAATGAAAGCCCAAACTTGTCATTTATGTCAATGTCCTCTGGTTTCACCCTTTCTTCAAGCTTCCAATGGAAAGAGTGCAAAAGAGAGGCCAACATAAGGTGCACCATCCGAGAAGCCAATGGCATTCCAGGGCACACCCTTCGTCCTGCACCAAAGGGAATTAGCTCGAAATCTTGGCCTCTAAAGTTCGTTTTATGCTTTAAGAACCTTTCCAGTAAAAACGAACTTGGGTTCGACCAAATGTTTGAATCGCGCCCCATAGCCCAAACATTAACAAGGACTTGTGTGTTTTTGGGCACGGTGAAGCGACATATTTCTACATCAGCTTCAGCCTTGTGAGGAAGTAGAAGTGGGGCAGCTGGGTGCAATCGGAAGGTCTCTTTTACTACTGCTTGCAAGTAAGGGAGGCTTGGGATGTCTGATTCTTGAACTAGTCTATGTCCATCCCTGCCAATCATTTTTTCCAGCTTATTTCGAGCTTTTGCCATTGCTTCAGGCCTTCTCATTAGCTCTGCCATTGCCCATTCTAATGTGGCTGATGTTGTATCTGTCCCTGCACTAAATAAGTCCTATCAAATAAAAGTCAATTTTGATGAACAAAATGTTTTTAAACTGGTCATTTCAGTGTCTAATAAGTATGTGCACATCCCTGTAACAATAGTAATGACAGTGACTCCTCACCTATTTTGTGGGATGTATGGGTGACGTCTCAAGGAGTACGAATATTTTCAATGACATATTCATAATGAATACGTGTTGGATAATGATATTTTTTGAATACTCACTCATATGTGTTCAATACTTCTTAAACATATTCATAATTTTGAAATATATTTTTAAATATCCGATACTATTTAATACTTTATACCACATTTTTAAAAAGTTTTAAATATTAAAATAGGGTAAAGTGCAATAAACCCCCTTAATCTTTACACTCTTTCCCAAATAACCCCCTGAACTTTCATTTTTACAATAAACCCCCTAAACTATTTTATTTTTTGCAAAAAACACACTATGTCACTGTTCGTCACTATTCAGATTGATTTTTCCGGTAAAACATGCACTATAATTTTAAAATGACAATATTGCCCTTATTAAAATTTTAGAATTAAATCAATTAAACCCCAATTTTGTTAACTAACCCTAACTCTCATTAGATTTCATCTCTACCAAATTGCATCTCTCTGATCTCATTCTTTGCAACCCTGTCAACAATCACAGACCTGACTTTTGCAAACCCAATCACAAATCAAAAGTCATACACAGAAAGCCATATGTTACAAAACCACTTATGCGATTCGGTTGCTGGAACCCAATCTTCTCTCTCTTGGTCATGAAATCCAACCATCGTCATCATGTATTTCTCTCTCTTGCTCCAATTGGCAATCTGGCAGAGTCGTTATTGGAAACCATTACAAATTAGAACAAAGCTAAAAATGGTTGTGGTAGGGCGAGATGGCGGCAGAGATGGTGGTGGTGGGGCGAGATGGCGAGAGAGATGGTGGTGGGAAGAGAACAGTATAAATCTTCTCCCCAAACAACTAAAGTACTCACAATTAAATATTCTTTTGGTCTGTTTCCATGCTTTAATTTTGATTCTTAAATATGTGTTTTTTTTTTTTTTTTTTTTTTGGTGTATTTGGTGGCCAAATTTAATGGCTGAAAACCAGCAAAACAAGCACCGGTGGTGATTGGTGGCCAGATTTTTGGGTGGTGTTTGGTGTTTTCTCACCGGATTTAATGGAGTTCGGGGGATAATATTCTCACCTCCAAATATGTATACACACATACACACACACACACCTATACACAATGTTGCCAGAGAGCCCAGTGGCGTAGCCAGAAATTTTCTTTAGTGGGGGCAATCTTTAATAGAAATAATATATATATATAATTTGAACAAAAATAATATATGTAAAAATTAAAACATTGATTCATTGTAAAAATAACGATTTTTTTCAGATTATTCATTTTTGTTTCAAAATTGAGTTCATTTAATTAAATATACTAAAAAAAATCATATTCAATGAATCAAGAATAAAACATGAAAAAGAAAATAACACAATTACCAATTCTAATATATCACATATGTAAAAAAAAAAAAAAAAAAAAAAAAAAAAAAAAAAAAAAAAATTAAAAAAAAAAAAAAAAAAAAAAAATCCATGATAACAGTTAATATGTGATTTCATTGATTTGGCCAGCAAATAAAAACAAATTCTAAGTGTTATTTAGAGAATAAGAATTAGTAACATGATTATACAAACTAAATTTTGAAAGAACAAACAAACCCTAAAATAATTTCGGTAGTAATAACTCATAAATTTTCTAATTAAAATAATAATATGAAATAATAATTGTAAATTTATATAATAAAAAAAATAAAAATAAAATCAGATTACCAGTCTACCGCACTACAGTACGACTCTTAATCATTCTATCTACTAGTAAATGGTTGCTCCGCTTTGCTTTGTTTTGATTGTAAAAAATGTTGAAAATTGAAGATATGATGGAAACAATCCATTTGTTTGTGGTAAAGTCAAAACTCAAAAGTGTGATAGAATATTAGGAAAGAATATAATATTTTGAGAAAGTAGAAAAAATATCATATTTTAGGGAAAGTAATAAATTGATAGAATGTTTACAATTATGTGATGATTATATTCCTTTGTTTTGTGCCTATGTGGATGAGAGTCAGGATTAAAGGAGTAGATTTCGCCCTTACAGTTGCTATGTTGCGATGGAATAAGCTAGGGCTAGTGTTTCAACAAATGAAAAGAAAAAAGAGAGGAGATGGTAGCCATGGCCGATGGAAGTGGTGATTTGAGATGTTTGGGGTAGGAGGCGGAGTGGTGACCAACGCTAAAATAAGGAGGTGCTTGGCCTAAAAACTAGGTGAAATTGTGATAAGGTGATTTAGTGGTAAAGAAAAGTCCAAAAATTATTAAAGGGTGACAACGAATGCTTGTTTTATATGTTTTGAAATGAATTCTTATATTATATTAATGATTATATTTGAATTCATAGTATTACTTAATTGAAGAAAAAAAAATGTATTTTTTGTATATAAAAATGTATTTATTGGTGTTATAACTAATTACTATCAAGTATGAGAGAATAGTGGACTTGTATATTAATTAGTGGTTGCTTTTATTGATGGAAGTTGATATTCACGCTCCAAAATTATATTAAGGCATTCACTTATATTTCTTATAAATTAAATGACAAAAATAACCCTAAATTGTTTTAATACAGTGTTTTCTTAATAATAAAACAGTGTTCTCTAGCTCTTTTTATATCTCCTCTCTGGTACGACTCTCTCAACTTAATATCTTCATCTATTCTCTCTCTTTTGTTTCTCTTTCATTCCTTTCTCTCCTCTCCCCCTACCATCTTTTCTCTTCTACTGGCATGCTGATTGCCCTCAACATATTAAAGACAAATTATTGTCAAAACTATCAACTTAAAATAAAAAGTGAGAGATTAATCCGAACAATACAAATACAATGTGAAAAAGAATCGTTGATGATGAAGATGCAGACAACAAGACAAATATGGCCTAATAAAAACTTCAAAGACTATAATTATAAACTTTGTAGTGTTTATATTATCTCTAAAAGTCGTTTTTTAAATTTGATAGTTTTTTTTTTTTTTTTTTTTTTTTTTTTTTTTTTTTTTTTTTTGGTGTGAGCTTGTGGCTAGTATAATTTTTCTCAATTTTGATAAGTTACTTTTCTCGATAGAAATGGACACTAATGTTCTGAATTTTTTTTTTTTTCTTTATCTAATTCTAAAAATTCACAGTAAAAATCTAAGTGATAGTGAATTGTCAGAATTATGCATATTATTCACCTTGAATACAAAATAATTAATATTTGATAAATAGGTATTTGTAAAGAGTCCTCTATTTGGCCTGACAAATAAAAACTTACTATTTTACCGAATCTATGTGGCTATTCATGTGTCAAATGTGTCAAATATAATGGGACTCATTTTAAAATATAAGGTAATTGAATATTTGAAAAGTTGAAATTTTTTTTTTCTAGGTTTATCTTAATCTAGTATCTTTGTTGGTGATTAAAATTTCAACCACCATGTATATGTATATTTGTTTTATATTTCAAATTGCATCTCATCTATTATTTTTGGAATCAATTTATGTACTTGAAAATTAGTGCTTTTGATTTGTGTTTTTTGCTTTTGCTAACGTATTATAGAGAAATAAAAATAAGAAGCATATTTGGTAATATTTGTTGTGCTTTTGAATAATACTAAAGCACTTCTAAAATTAAAAATCAAAATCGGAAGCATCAAAATGATATTTTTGTTTGCTTTCGCAGTGTAACAAAGCACTATTCATTGAAAAAGAAAAAAAATAGTAAAATAACATTTTTAACTAATCATTCAAATTTTCAAACTTGCAATGTTTTTTTTACCAACACGTGTTTTCATATTTTTACTTTTAAAAATATTGTAACAAATTTACGTTACCAAATAAATTTCTAAATAGTGTTAAACATATTGTAAAAGCAAAACCCACAAAGCAACTATAGTTGCCAAACGAGCCCGAACACTGCATACTTACGTGCCTTTTTAATTTCTGGCGGTCAAAGAATCGCGTGTTAGTGGTTCATTCTTTTTGAAGGCCCCAAAACAATGCCAGATATCCTTTCTCAAACCTATATATTGCATGCCCAATTTCATACCATACCCGTGAAATAGAAATAGTATCAATATCAAATATCAATTTCAGCTTCTGACAGTATGTTCTTTTAGTACATCTGAGTTAAATTGTATAAATGAGAGAAATTGTACAAAGATGGGCAAGAGCCAACAAATTAAACCACAACAGTGGCCAAACCTACACATGCACCAAAGACAGCCAAGTAGGGCAAAAAAGAAACCAAAAAAAAAAAAAAAGGCCATAAAATCATAAGCTATATAAGAAGATATCATAATCTCAACAACAGAACTAACTAGAAAGAGAAGGTAAAAAAAAAAAAGTCGGGGTTAATTGATTGCAAGAACATACCAGAAGCGTACAACCTAATATATATATATATATATATATATATATATAAAATAAAAAATCAGTGTAAAAAGGTTAGTTATGGTATTTTCAAACGTGCATGCATGAAACATGTTGATTTGAAATGTACACAGTAGAGGTGATAATTTTGGACTCTATGCATGAAACATGTTGATTTGAAATGCACACAGTCAATGTGATGTGTTTTTGGACCATATATTAATTAGGGTGAAGTACTGTCACATCTTGACAAAAAGAAACATAGGTGAAAGTTATTTATTTTTTTTTAACAAAGACTCCCCTGGTATGAAACTCCAATTAAACAAGGTCTTAAATTATTTAAAAAGATAAAATTACCTCTTAATATTAAAATTAAATTTATTATAAAATATTCGATATAATAAAAAGACACAATTACCCTTAGCATATTTCAGTCACAAATTGTGACTGCCAAGTGGCGCCTGGTTAGACCCACCCATCCCACCTACTCCAATAAACCCATTCCGTTTCCTGTAACCTTTTAGGGTGTATTTGTATAGACAAGGAGGAAAGAAAAGAAATGATAATATTAGTTAGAAGAGAAAAGAAAAAATAGTAAAAATTTTAATTTGTGTTTGGATAAATAGAAAAAAAAAAAGAAAAGAAATTATAATTATTATTGTTTGGATAAGATAGATGAGAGAAAAGAAAAGAAAAAATAGTGACCAAATTACTATTCTACTTTTTCATAACCACATTTCCAAAATCTGACATAGAATACTTGGAATATTTCTATGTGGTAGTTCAATACAATAGGTAAAAACAAAAGTAAAAAAAAAAAAAGAAAAAAATTAAAAATAATGGATGAAAACAAAATTATGACATAAATAGAATAACTCTTCTTTATATTGATTTGCGGTATTTTCCCTCCCTATTTCTTCCTATTCTCTCTTTTCTTCATATTGATTTGCACTATCTTCTTCTTCTGTTCTTTTTTTTTTTTTTTTTTTTTTGATCCCTGTCCCTCCAAATCAACCCTACCAAACACACCCTTACCATTAATTTATCTGACCAAACTTCCTTCTTCCCCACCTTTCTCGGCATTCACTGCCCCGCCGCCGCCGCCGCCGTCTTCCCCTCTCTCTCTCTCTATATATATACACGGCGTTCACTGCGCCGCCACCATCACCACCACCCATCTTCCCCTCTCTCCACACACACACACACATATATATACACACACACACAGACGCAGCTCACTCTGCCGCCGCCGCCACCACCACCACCACCACCCATCTTCCCCTACACCACCACCACCCATTTTCCCTCCACCACCACCACCGATCAAAATCTCACTGTGAGAGCTCCACGGGCCGAAAACAAGATTGCCTTCCCAACACGCGCCGCACGCGCCACCGTGGAGCTCTCTGCAACAAGGCCGGAAGCGACATAACCCTTTTTTAACCGTTGAAGTTGCGCAAAGAAATACTATTGCAGGGGAAGAAAAAAGCTTTATAAGGTCACCGTGTGTTTCAGGCAATATATAAGGTCCTTAAAAAAGCTTTAGGAAACTATTGCTTGTGTTTCCGGGAGTGTTAAGCTTTGTTAGAGAGAGAGAGTCTTGTTTCTGAGCGTTCTTCTGGGTCCTTTGATTTCATTGCAAGCTTTTGGATTCCTAGGGAGAGAGTCTTTATGGGTTCAGTGAATTTTCTAGGAAAAAGTGGAATCTTCTTTTGCTTTGAGATGACGTAGAAGGGTCCTTTCTGGTTTTGTGATTTTCTATGAGTATTGAGAATGATTTTTCATCAATGTTGATAATTTTGGTTTTTGCCCTCTAATTCAATGGAATTGTTCACAAGTTTCATGATGGGTTTGCGAGGAAGAGCAAAATTTTCAATTGATTCAGAGGTTTTATTGGGGTGGGATTGGGATTGAGATTGAGATTTAGTCGCAGAAGAAGAGGAAGGCTAAGGAGACGGCGGCGGTGGTGGATGAGGGTAGATTGGTCCAATATATTAAGTTGTAAATTTAAAAAGTGACTTTAACAGTCAAAGGTAATTTAGTGTCTTTGTTTTGTAAAAAAAAAATAAATAATTTTTATTTGTATTTTTTTAACCAAATCTCAAAAAGTATGATTATACTTTATCTTATTAAATAAATAACATCAAACAGTGGGGATAATAAAATTTAGGTGTTAACTTAAAAAAAGAAAAGAAAAAGATTTAGGGATAAAATACGGCTTATGCAATGATATGAATCTTGAGTACAGACTATAGAGATCACGATAACTTTTAAGGATGCTTTGACCAAGTGTACTTTCTTTGCTATAAAGCACAGAGGAAACATGTTTCAATTTATATAAAAATTATTATCAGAAAAACAAAATGTACAACACAGTGTGAGTGTGGTAAAGAACCAGCCATGTTACGGATGCAATATTATATGTTCTGTATACCGAAACAGAGATGGCAATGGGGCGGGGATCTCACTTCCTATTATCATTCTCGGTCAAATTTTTTACCTATCCCCGCCCCCATACCAGTTTAATTTTCAACCCCCTCCTCCATTCCCGCCCCGCCACATTAGCCCCCATTCCTGCCCCACATAACATTTTTTTAATTCTAATTCATCTTCAACAAAATCAACACAGCCCTAATATTTTTCAACCTAATAATTAAATAAAGTTTCAACACAATTATAACAATTTAAAACATAATTAGATATTTGATGCACAACGACTATGCTTTTTCTTTATGCTGCAAGGGTTTCACCTTCAAAAGTGAATATATTATATATATAGTTATGTAATTTAGTAATATTTTATAACATGTAAGGGCAATTTTATAAAAATGCACTATAAACGGGGCGGGGTTACTCTCCCCCCGCCCCTGACCCCGCCTCATCTCCCGCCGGGGTTTCAAATACAATTCCCATCCCCTTCCCATTTATATAAATGGATCCCCAAACCCGCCATAAATAGGGCGGGGTGGGGCGGGGACCCGCCGAGTATGGGGATTTTGCCATCCCTATACAAAAACATCTCTTTACTTTTCTAATATAAAAGCCAATAACATGCTCTACTTCAGTTAATTAAAGGGTTAATTCTACAACATGACACGGCTTTAAAATCTTTATGAAATTTTTGACTAATCACATGATATTATTTTTTGAAACATTGTAACGCGGTTTGAATTGTATAGTAGTATTTTAGATATTAATTGTGTTGGTTTATTGATATATAAGATGGTGAAAACACATGTACTTATATATTTTGAAATTATAAAGTTGTGACTTAAAGTTAAAAGTGTGAAAAATTGATTGTCTTTCGCAAGTGTATATATCCCTATTATTGTGGCAATTTTATAGTTGGGTGGGAGTTGCTTTTTAATGGCTTAAATTAGAATTGCAAATGTGTTGGGAGTTTCATGCATGACATTTGAGTAGGAATTAATATATGCATTTGACCATTTAATGTAGAAAAGTGTGAAGTATATATAGTTAGTTGCTTAATTTCGGAAGCAAATATAATTTTTATGCAAACTTAACCTTTTATGTTACTATTATCATGGAAGTAGAAGAATTTCTACATCATCTGGGACTGAAGAAAAGTTGAATTGCATAGAGCTAGATAAATTTATTTTGGTTGTTTTAGGAGAACAAAGCAAATATATAGAAAGCCAATTATCTAGTCATAGGAAATTCCTAGATTGACAGTCACAGTTTAATTGCAATAGCCTTGAGGGGCTTGGCTTTCTGCAATGTAAGCCCGAACTTGTCAGTCATGTCAATATCTTCTGGTTTCACCCCTTCTTCAGGCTTCCAGTCGAAAGACTGCAAAAGAGAGGCCAACATGAGGTGCAACATCCGAGAGGCCAAAGGCATTCCGGGGCACACCCTTCGTCCTCCACCAAAAGGAATTAGCTCGAAATCTTGGCCTTTAAAGTCCGTTTTATGCTCTAAGAACCTTTCCGGCAAAAATAAACTTGGGTTCGACCAGATGTTTGGATCGCGCCCCATAGCCCAAACGTTAATAAGGACTTGTGCATTTTTGGGGACAGTGAAGCCACATATTTCTACATCAGCTTCAGCCTTGTGAGGAACTAGAAGTGGGCCAACTGGGTGCAACCGGAAGGTCTCTTTTACCACTGCTTGCAAGTAAGGGAGGGTTGGGATGTCTGATTCTTGAACTAGTCTATGTCCATCCCTGCCAATCACTTCTTCCAGCTCATTTCGAGCTTTTGCCATCGCTTCAGGCTTTTTTATTAGCTCTGCCATTGCCCATTCTAATGTGGCTGTTGTTGTATCAGTCCCAGCAAGAAATAAGTCCTAACAAAGAGAGACAAATGTTAGTTTTCATGAACAATATGTTTTTACATCAATGGTTAGTTATTGGTCACTTTAGTGTCCAATAGGCTATGGGAAGAATTGCTCACCAGAAGCGTTTCTTCTGGTGAGCAATAATAAGAATATATATTAAATATTATATATTCTTATTATTACTTCATTCTTAAATTCTATAATTCTGATACAAAAAGGTTACATTTTCAAGTCTATAAAAGAGGCACTATCCTATACAGTGAGGTGGATGAACATGCGTTCGAGTATTCTATGAAAAATCTATTAATTAGTGAAAGCACTATGAAGGTTCAAAAATTGCTCACCAGAATCAAACGCTTTACTTCACTGACGCTCAACCCAGTATCCTTATCTTCGGTGAGATTGAGGAGGGTCTCTAAGACATCATTTCCCAACACAGAGGAAGCTACTCTTGATTGTAACCTTTGATTGATAATTTCTTCAAATATCTCTAGCAACTTTTCAAAATAAAACTTCAGCTGTCGCCGAACACGTTGTGGGTCGATCAATTTAAGTAGAGGGAAATAGTCTGCAATATTAGGCTTCCCTGAAAATTCCATCACAGACCACACAATGTCCTTGATTTCTTGAGGCGAGTTGGATTGATAATGAGCCAAATCAGCGGAGAAGAAAGTGTTTTGGACAAGGTGGTTAATGACTTATGTGGTTTGTTGCCAAGTGCTAAAATGTTTCCGATCACCGGAAAAGCGTAAGGGCCCGGTGGGAGCCTGGTCTTGCCGGACCTCCGGCGAATTGGGTTGGAGACAAGGACATGAATGCATGTCAACACAAAGGAAAGTAGAAAAAGAAATGTGATGTTGTCCATTAGTCTCTACTCTCTATTGCCAGGATTTAGGCTTTGAGATTTATGCCTATTTATCATTTTTGTGAGAGGTATCCTCAACTATTTTCACGTGTTGGGGTGGGGGGGTCCTCGACTATTTTCACGTGGGCCTAAACGTTGAAATGATTTTTTGGTTTTTGTTGGGGGGGGGGGGGGGGGGGGGGGGGGGGGGTATGGGGGGCTCAAGTACAATTCAGTTTTCCAGAAAAAAAAAAAGAATAAAAAAATTTATGTATTAATTTAATATTTTTATAATAATATTTAATTTCAAATTCTAATTGAGAATTTGAATATTATTGATGGTTGAGAATTTGTTTCATTATTTATATCTATTTGATTCGTAATACAAAATTAATTTTTTAACCCTGTTCCTATTTCGCCTCATTTCGTTTAATAAATAATTTTAGGTAAAAATGGGACGAGCTTTAACAAACGGGAGAGTGGGTTGGGAGGAGATTCCTCGCCCCAAACTTGTCTCGTTGATATCCCTAATCGTAACATTCAAATGCTAATTATCAATTAGAAAGAGAAAAAATTAAACTTATTCGACTAAAGTCCTTGGGCGTTGGGCGAATTGATGCAATGATATAAATGTTGATTGTTATTTATTGTGTAATGCTATTAAGACTCATTTATTCAAATCGGTGTATAGTTGAAGGAATTTTTTTCATCCCTTCCGTGCAGTGGTATCTTTCGACTATTCATATCAATTTGACAAATCAAGTTTAGAAATCATTTTTTGTTTTTATTTAGCAAATATAAAGATAGACACCTAAGATCAAGTACAATTATGGGTGGCTCAAGTACAATTCAGTTTCCGAGAAAAAAAAATTTAAAAACGTTTTATACGGGTGAAATCAAGTTTAGAAATCATTTTTTGTTTTTATTTAGCAAATATAAAGATAGACACCTAAGATCAGAAAGATTTGTACCAACAAAAAGTCCTTGGACAGTTAATTGGCCTAAACGTTGAAATGATCTTTTTGTTTTTTTGGGGGGGGGGGGGACTACAATTATGGGTGGCTCAAGTACAATTCATTATGTGTGGCTCAAGTACAATTCAGTTTTCGAGAAAAAAAAACGTATAAAATGTTTTTAAAAAAATTTATGTATTAATTAATATTTTTATAATAATATTTAATTTCAAATTCTAATTGAGAATTTGAATATTATTGATGGTTGAGAATTTGTTTCATTATTTATATCTATTTGATTTGTAATACAAAAGTAATTTTTTAACCCTGTTCCTGTTTCACCTCACTTCGTTTAATAAATAATTTTAGACAAAGATGGGGCGAGCTTTAACAAATGAGAGAGTGGGTTGGGAGGAGATTTCTCGCCCCAAACTTGTCTTGTTGATATCCCTAACTGTAACATTCAAATGCTAATTATCAATTAGAAAGGAAAAAAAATTAAACTTGTCCGACTAAAGTCCTTGCGCGAACTGATACAATGATATAAATGTTGATTGATTTTTATTATGTAATGCTATTAAGACTTGTTTATTCAAATCGGTGTATAGTTGAAGGAATTTTTTTCATCCTTTCCGTGCAGTGGTATCTTTCGACTATTCATGTCAATTTGACAAATCAAGTTTATAAATCATTTTTTGTTTTTATTTAGCAAATATAAAGATAGACACCTAAGATCAAGTACAATTATGGGTGGCTCAAGTACAATTCAGTTTCTGAGAAAAAAAAATTTAAAAACGTTTTATCCGTGTGAAATCAAGTTTAGAAATCATTTTTTGTTTTTATTTAGCAAATATAAAGATAGACACCTAAGATCAGAAAGATTTGTGCTAACAAAAAGTCCTTGAACCGTTAATTGGGGTGGACAAAAAACCAATCAGTTGTTTATCATTACTCGGGCTATGTCTCACAATTCGTAGTCGCAATTCAACAATTGTAGCACGATTCAGCCCCAAAGTCGACCCAAATATTGTTTGGGTTCAGTCCAAAGTCTGAACCCACTGAAAATAGGAAAAAGACTTTTAAAATGGCTAGAATATTTTTATAATAAAAAGACTTCTATTTTCCTTAATTGTCCCAATCTCTAGAAAAAACTTATCCTGTGACTGAGATTGGAGTGCTGGTGAGTGTTATTGCCAGCAAACTTATCTTGTGGCTGAAATTAGGGTGCTCGTCGCAATAGCACTACTCATGTTATTATTATTTAAAAAATTTTATGTATTATTTTAATATTTTTATACTAATATTTAATTTCAAGTTCCAATTAAAATTTTGAATATTATTCTTATCTGCATTAGGGAAAAATGAATTACTAGGGTGGGTGAGAATTTGTTTCATTATTTACATATGTTTGATTTGTAATATAATTACAAAAGTACTTTTCTAACCTTGTGCTTCGTTTAATAAACAATTTTAGGCAAAGATGGGGCGAGCTTTGATAAATGGGGAGTGTGGATTGGGAGGGTAGGGGTGGAGCCAGAAATTTAAGGTTTAGATGCCAGATTTGAACTATGTAACAAAAATTAAGAAAACATATAAATCAATTGTAATATAATTTATTTTTAAATACTGATCATAGTATATATATCTAGATAAAATGAAAAAAATACAACTTGGATGGAAAAAAAAAAAATTAATGCTAGAAGAAAATTATGGAGAAGAAATGTAAAGAAATAAGCATTGTTAGAAAATCAAAATTCATTTATCAATTGTTTTAATTTTTCAAAAATTTAATTTTTGGAAGAAGAAAATAAAGTAGATTCCACAATTCAATAACATAATGAATTTTAACCCAATTTTGAACCCAAAAAAAAATTCAACAAGATTATTATTGAGTTATTAAACAAGATACAAATAATTATAAAATTTGTTATTTAGAAAGTAATAACTAAAAATATATAGATGATATTATTATTGTTATTGAGAGTCTCACAATACTTTAGTTTATTTTCTTTCCAAATATTCATAAGACTGGCCAATAAAGATAGTTATATAATTTTAGATATTTTTCTTATAAATACCATTTTACAAAAATGTTTGACAAAAAATGCTTCATGCATTTTTACCAAACATGAGAGAACATTAATTATTTTATTCCTTTTTTTTTCTCTATCTTGAATTAATATTATAGTTATTGTAGTGTATATATAAATAAAATAATAATGTGTTGAGATAACCACTGTAATAATTATTTACCAAAAAAAAAAAAATAATAACTAATAATAATCAGCTTAAATTTTTATTATTTCAATATTTTTATAACAATATTTAATTTCAAGTTCCAATTGAAAATTTGAATATTATTCTTATCTACATAAGGAAAAAATGAATTACTAGGATGGGTGAGAATTTGTTTCATTATTTACATCTGTTTGATTTGTAATACAATTACAAAAGTACTTTTCTAACCTTATTTCTGTCTCACCCTGCTTCGTTTAATAAAAAAAATTAGGCAAAGATGGGGCGAGTTTAGATAAACGGGAGTGTGGATTGGGAGGGGATTTCTCGCCCTGAACTTGCCTCGTTGTTATCCCTAATCGTAACATTCAAGTGCTAAGTATCAATTAGAAATGGAAAAATCTAAACTTGCCGACAACCGACAAAAGCCATTGCACTTGAAATGATACAATGATATAAATGTTGATCGATTTTTATTGTGTAATGTTATTTAGACTCATTTATTCAAATGAAGTGTATAGTTGAAGGAATTTTTTTTTTACCCTGTTGATGTAGTGGTATCTTTAGAATATTCACGTCAATTTGACAAATCAAGTTTAGAAATCATTTTTTTGTTTTTATTTAACAAATATAAAGATAGACACCTAAGATGAGAGAGAGTTGTACTGACAACATGTCCTTGTTGAACTGGGTCGACAAAAAACCAATCGGCTGTTTATCATTACTCGGGCCATGTCTCACAATTCGTATTCGTAATTCAACAATTGTAGCACGATTCAGCCCCAAAGCCGACCCAAATTGTGTTTGGGTTCAGTTCAAAGTCTAAACCCACTTAAGATAGGAAAAAGACTTTTAAAATGGTACTTTTTCTTTTCAATTTCAGAGTGTTTTCCGGTGGGCCCAATATTCCGAATAAAAATATAGGGATTGGACTGTTACGGGTTGTACATTTAACACTAGTGCCAGACCGACTAAACGGGCTCGTTTGCTTGACTAGAATCCAAATCCAAGCCCATATAGTAGTTCCGTCCAACTCCTTGCATCGGAGATACAAGTAGTAGACCATTGACAAATATCCATCCCATTATCCAACCCACCTGACTAGACCATTGACAAAAGTCCATCCCATTATCCAACCCGCCTGACTTCTTGACCCTGTCAGATTTATACAATCACAACTAGTTCACACCCAATTGCTGCCCCGCGTTCAATTTCAAAAGCATGTCCACTAGTTACACATTTTCGGGTTGCAGCAGCAACACGTTGTTGCAGAAGAAATCGTAGCCGTGGATTCTACAGTAGTCAACAGCAGAAATGGTCACCTTGAATGTGATTTAAATTATTATCAATCAATATTAAAACTTCTAATATTTATTATTTTGTTTTACAAGTACCTTAATATTTTAATATCCATAAATCATTGTTATCTTAATTCTATTCAAAATTCTTTATCGCCAAATAGGGTCAAGATTTCCTCCGGTCAAACGCCTCAAACTAGAGAATTTAATTTTGTTTGATTTATTAAAGAGTCATGCATTCTAGCTTCACATAAATATATATAATGCATGTATATATAAAGATCATAGAAAGAGAAAGTTAGAGTAAGAGAGATTCTATTATAGTTAGTTTATATGAACAGGATCCCCTCCCTTCATAATGCAACACAAGTACACAAGATAAGCTAGACTTTAGACTACTGTATCATAAAATATGACACTCGTGTAATAACAATGTAATAATTATATAGCACATTTATATTAAAAATACAACACATATACAATTCAAAAAATATGAATACGAATATGAGTACAACATAAAACAGACGCGACAATACGAA